TTCAGATCATGCACATAGAAATTAGAAGGTAGGGAAAGAGCTATATCGGAGTTCAGATCATGCACATGAAAATTAGAATGCAGTATGTATAAAAAAAATCTGGTAAGAATGGAGGTGTTGGAGACTGTAAGTAGAAGGGGAGATATCACTCTCCACTTAAACATACTATTTATTAGGTCAGAGTACTGCAAATCACTGCAGTACACACCGACAGCTTAGTAGAGGGTGATATAGCAGGGAACAAATTAAAGGCAATTCGGATGGGAACAAGAGGTAACCTGGTCTAAACTCCGTAAAAGAGAAGAAAAGTAGGAAATGATAGTGCAACAAAGCAGGCTAGGCGTCCTAGAAGAAGGAATTGAAGACGGATAAAAAATAGAGGGAAGAAAAGTTTTTCTTAAAATTCGGGATACTTTTAATGTTTGGTCCTTTAAACCTAACAACGTAATTAAAACTTAATATATTTTTCCAATTATGAAAATATTGAGGTTACTTCTCTTACTAATTGTTGCACACCATTTTTGATGGGATTTTTAAAAAATGTTTTAACTTCATGGAGCCTCGGAAATTGCAAGAAAAAGAAGGGATTAAAAGTTTAGAAGCCTAGTTTCTAATTTATCTAAGTTGTATAAAATTTGAAATTTACTCCAGGGGTTGAAACTACGGGTGGAGTCTATATTGAACAAGAACAAAAACAAACAAATTCTCTATCTATCTATCCATCATTCCTCTTTTATCCGTTCATTCTTTTTATTTCTACATCTTTCATTCCGGTTCACGTCAATGACATAGAGGTTATTTATATTTAACCTTCTGTAATCATCTAAATCTTGTTCATGAAAATGGTTCATTGATAAAATCAATGATTTAAGTGTTTGTGTAATTTGTGAACACAAATCACGCCATTCCAGAGTTTTTAGTTTGCAATTACAAAAAATTAATATGATACCTTTTTTTTGTTATGTACGTCATATCTAATTACAATGATATACATTCAACATATTTCCATTCTCTAAAATCTAAATATAAAGTAGTAATGTTCTAAGCCTGGTTTAAAACATTCTAAGCTGAGTTGGTTGACTTTTTAAAAAAAGTATTTACCATATAGTAAATGTCGTACTCTTAAAAGTTTGTCCTAAACTGTATCAAACCAGGTTCAACACGTGCGCCATCATAGTCAACCAGGACACGATCCACACTCAGGCTTTAAATGCCACACAGGGAAACAAGCGTAGCTATCAATCATAACTCAGGAACCCCTTAACAGGTTTGCCTTAATTTTGATTTATGAACCACAGTAATGTTCTTATAGTTTGTTTTAAAAAATGTTAGTTTAGTTGACTAACTTCAAGAGACTCTGCTTAAAAGCATTATCTGATCAAGTATGAACTATATGCTTTTGTTTATTTAAACTCTTCATTTTCAATTTTGGTTTCTCTGCAATAAAGTGATTTGCTTGTAAGAAACAATGGAGAAATTCACATAAATAAACACTTTTCTAGTCAGAAAAACGACATGTTTTCCATATTTTTGATCGAATTTAGGTTTCAAGGGTACCGTTGTAAATTGAGCGATGCAATTTTTGAAATAAGGACCATTAGAAGTTTTGCTTACAGATTCTTTAACAGAAAGTATACGCGGACGCCCCTGCCCATCAGTATTTAATTTGTGTGGCTGTCTTAGTCTTTTTTACTACAAAAATTTTTACAATACTATTTAGTAATTTTTTTTTAAAAGTTGCTTTTATCGTTTTGCCATGTACACAAATACAATTCATATTCAATATCTCTGCTTTAAAAATAAGATCTAGTGTACTCTTCCTCTATCTTTCTCTCTCTCTGTGACCAGTAAAATATTTAAGAGTTTGGCTGTAAATGAATCTATTAGTGGTAATTTAAACAAAAAGGGTTTACGGCCATTCCACCATCTATCTTATGCCTAATCATCTATCTATCTATCTAGGTGTCTTTTCCTCTATCTATCCATACTTAGGTACCTTTCCATCTCTATCTACCTTCCTATTGTCCATCTATCTACCCATTATCTATCTTTTCATCTATCTATTTACTTGGGTGTCTCCATCCATCTATAGGTATCTTACAATCCATATATCTGTCTATCCATAGATAGATGGATTGAAAGATATCTATGTCAGTGGCGCAACTAGGGGCGAGTTTATATAGACATCCTGTTGTCTATATGTCTATAAAAGGTGTGTTTATATAGACATCCTGTTATCTATATGTCCGGAAAAGGATGGTTTATATATATAAACATCCTATCTATAGACATCCTGTTGTCTAAATGTCTAGAAAAGGTGTGTTTATATAGACATCCTTGTGTCAATATGTTTAATAAAGGCGTGTTTACATAGACATCCGGCCTGTTGTCTATATGTCATTAAAATGTGTGTTTCTATAAACATCCTGTTGTCAATATGTTAAATAAAGGCGTGTTTACATAGACATCCGGTATATTGTCTATATGTCTTGAAAAGGTGTGTTTATATAGACATATCTTGTTGTCTATATGTCTAGAAAATGGGTGTTTAGATAAACACCCTGTTGTCTATATGTCTAGAAAATGTGTGTTTATAAAGACATCCTATTGTCTATATGTCTAGAAAATGGGTGTTTATATAAACATCCTGTTGTCTATATGTCTAGAAGAATTAGATAAAGAGAGCTGAGGTTTAACAGACCATGAGTTATAAACCTTCTAAACAGAGAAAGTATGAAGAAAAAGATCAAACAGAACAAACAGTCATTCAGAAACATTCGGAGTTCAGATCATGCACATGGAAATTAAAAGGTATAGAAGGAGTTATGTCGGAGTTCAGATGATGTACATGGAAATTAGAAGGTAGGGAAGGAGCCATAACGGAGTTCAGATCATGGACTTGGAAATTAGAAGGAAGGAAAGGAGCCATAACGGAGTTCAGATCATGCACATAGAAATTAGAAGGAAGGGAAGGAGCCATAACGGAGTTCAGATCATGCACATAGAAATTAGAAAAGGGAAATCTGTTCTGCTACATTCTACATGGAAATTTTTCATGCTACATTCTACAAGTAAATCTATCCTGCATATATTCTACATAGAAATTTTGTTCTGTTACATTCTACAGGAAATCAATCTTGCTACATTTCACATGGAAAGCGTACACTCTGCAGAGTTTATCAATAAATTATCAGATCGAAAGAGTAAATTGAGATGGTAAAGAAAAAACGGCAATTGATAATTAATCATTACCATAGAAACAGGGTTCGGAGCAGATTTTGCAGATTCTGAGCCGCAGAATTAAAATTGATAATTAGGGTTGATGGCCGCATCTCCATCCCTCCCTCGACTTATTACAACTTTACAAACCTCAACTTCCATTCTGGTGAATCATCAAACACACAAACAATGACAGCGAAGGACAAAGGATCTTTTTCGTGTTTGTATGAGGAAGGTGGGTGGGGGGGGGGGGGGGATTTGAGATAGAATGAAGGAGAAGAGAAAAAGAAAAGAGTGAAGATGGGAAAGAAATGAAATGGTGTTAATTTATCATTAATATTGTTTTAAAATTTCTTCTTGCAAATACAATTTTAAGAAGTATATCAATAGGGATTATTCCACAATGCCAAGTTTGATTATGTTCATCTAAAGCTCAAGGAAAGTATGGAAAATGGGAGAAAACGGAAGAAAAAAGTGTTTTTAAGAAAAGTTACCATCTTACTATGCACCAAGAGTAAAAGTAGGAAAACTAGTTAAGTTTAAAAAGGTCTTTCTAGGGATCTTAAGGGGCAAAACAAAGTGAAAATCATGCACATTGAATATTTAAACTAAAATGAAATGCACTTTTATTAAATGTGCTTTAATTTAAATATCTAATTTAAAATACTAGGCTTACAGGGCACTTCACGTCCATCTTATATTTCAATTTTTGTAAACATTGTAATTTGTAAAGCAAACAAAAAATCGTGGATATTAAAATATTTCGGGGATTTTTAAAATTTCAAAAATCGAATTTTGTTAGAGGCAAATTTTTGAAAATTCGATCATCCATAAACCTTTCCTGGGGTCAAGAGAGATCCCACAATAAGTTCGGGCCCGATCGATTCAGCCGTTTTGACGTTTATTGGATACAAACGGACAGACAAGCAAAGTTTTTAGGGCGCATCGCGCCAATCTTCTATTTTAATTGTGAACATGTTCTCTTTGTGAACATTGTAAAACAAACTAACAAAATTTTCAAAAAATCGAATTTTGTTAGAGGCAACTTTTTGAAAACTTAATCATCCATAAACCTTCCCTGGGGTCACGCGAGAAATTATTGAAAATGTATTTATATCTAGAAGCAATACATGTACTTCAAAAAAAAGTCAGGATTCTTTCAGGGGATAGGGGGGGGGGTGTTGATTTCATTATATACTTGCAAAAACTTGCTCTTTAACAGGAGACAATTTTTCTAAATTTCCATTGTGAACCCACAATATGCTCCAATTAAGCTAATACGATGTCTGCAAAGATGTTCTACATTTAAAATTAAAAGTCTTAAGTATTATGTAAATATCTCTGCGTTGAAAGAACACTTAACAAATCTGTCTGTCTGACAAGACGGACAGGCAGTGATGGAGAGACAGATTAATTTTTCAGGTGAAAGTAACCCCTTCATTGACCTATGGGAACCAAATATATTGGTGCATAGGGAGATAGGAACAACCAGATAGTTGTAAAGATGTGAAGAGAGTTCAAAACCTACGATTAACCTGTAATTACGAAGAATGTATTCGTGATATCGGCTACTTAAAAGATCTTCTGGGGGGCCGAGGGTAAGGGGATAAACGCGCAAACCACAAATTAATGCCGCCTTCAAAAATTATTATCATGGGAAAAATGTCAGCGCTAAGCTTTGAAGGTTTTTACAATGTTTGTTTATTTTGAGGAATGGTGTAGCGTGATCAATCATAATTTTCCATGCACGCACACACAGGCAACATATAAATACAAGTACATTCATATACCTTGACCCTGGTCAGGCCTAGTTCCTGGTATTTATTTAACAATATCCAAATATGTATTTACTATTTACATTTTACATGTGCATAACTAACTTTGAACCATATTTGTCTTTTCTTCTAAATTTGAATACCATCTTGCATGCAGCATTTTCAAATCAAGCTTGGTCTCCAGCATCTTCTCTTAGAAAACCTTTTATTTTAATTGTTACTTCTCTATAAAAATAAGGATGGGACCATTTAGCAAGTTTTTAATAAAAATGTTCAGATACTTTCAGCATGGGTCTTAAAAGTTTATATAGCAAAAATTTTTTAAAATAAATTATTTTTTCTCACTTTCAAATTCATAAAATAAAATCATAAAAATTAAGCAAGTTATAGGAAAAAACAGACTTTTGAAATTGAAATTTGCTATTTTTTTTGGTAAAATTCAAACAATATTTAAAATTTCAAAAATCAACTCAACTGGGCAATATTCAGTGGTTAGAGGCGCAACTTCAGGTACCCACATCGACATGTTTCGAAAAACTTGAAAAATTGACATCTCTTTGTGATTGACTTGCTAGCGTTGCCCCATTTTGATTAATCTAAAATAACTTTCGGAATGTGATTTTGTAAATTTAATTGAACAATTGTTGTTGCGTGTTGGTAATATTAAACAGAATTAATATTGTCCCAGGATTATTTTTTAAATCAGATTTGACTGAAAATAAAATCTCTTAATAAGCTTGTAAGAGAAAACTAAAATAAAAAGGATAAGTTCTCGTATTAATCTCCATTTAAAATGTAATAAAAACTTGGATGTCGGTTTAAAAATACTCCTATTTTTGTCATGTTTTGTGTATATTTTTATTCCGTTGCCAGTTATGATTATCAAAGAGTTTGCAGAGCGAGAGCAACAAGCAATAATAAACATTGCTGGTTTTGGTCTCATAATTTTTAATCCGACATTTTTTAACCTGCTCTTGTTTTTTTGAAATTTCTATGAATTGTAATACCACATCTCGGTATTTCATTTGTCTTTAATTTAACTATTTTGTTAAACGCTACGTAATCTAAACTTATTTTTTTTAATCTATTGGCATAATTGTGATCTGTATTGCTAATTTTTGTATCGCATTAGAATAATAAAACACCTTGTATTCGAGTAATTAAAATTAAACATCTGTGAAAGTTTCAACAGAAAACTTTTTTTTTCAAAGATAAAGGATATATTTTGTTTTAGAAAATCGATTTAACTTTTATATATCTTAAAAATTTTTATTTTGCTGATAACTGTAAAAACTGTAATAACTGTAAACCCCGGATCATCTAATTTAGATTATTGGATACCTGAAATTTAGTTCACGAATTCACAAAAAAAAACTAGAGCACGAACTTTTAAAAGTAGGATATTTTCTTTTTTAATGTTTACTTATGTAATTTATCCGAAAACCGGGAAGAGGGTCACTCCCACAATTGCTTGTTCTTAACTGTGAAATAGTGATGACCATGTAGGGACATGCGCATTTCTGTTTCAGAGAACAAAGGTGGATATTGTCAGAATAGTATACTTGCCAAGCTAAAAATTATCCACATCATGAATCAAATATTGCTACAGGTTAACAGGTTACTGATGTGAATCATATATGTTCATCTTAAACTTTAAGAGTATGTTCTGATAAATTTTAAAACTCAACTAGCAAAACTACTGTTAGAAAATGAACAAACAAAATAGTCGGAGATTAAATTAACAAGAAGAATAAAGCAACGCCCCCTTGAACCCTGTGTTCTTTAACTTGCAATGCAAAATAGGTTAATAACTGCAGTATATTTTAAAAACTTTATTATGCAATATATTGCATGCCTGAAGATGTGGGAAATAAAACAACAGACCTAATATTTTACAGGGTATCCCAACAAAAATGGAAATTAAGCAACGACTTTCCCAGCTCAAACCATTTTTTTTGCTTCCATAATACTTTTGTTCAAAACATAACAAAAGGAAATTTTTTAATTTTTTTTTAACGTTTAATATTAGATTTTTTAAACATAAGGAGAAGGATATTTGTTTTCAACAAAGTGCCGTTATAAATTACTTAAGAATGCAATAACTTATCTATTTTATACACATTTGTTCACAAATGTGGGTCTTAATTTTAACAATATGAATTTTTTATCTCACTTCAGGAAAGGGTTAATAAGGTTAAATATCAACAAAATACAAATATATATACAATAACAATGAAATAATTTATGTATTAATAGCAATAACAGTTTTTAATTTAATTATAATTGTAAATTATCTAACTCAGTACCAGGGCTAGGATCTATATTTCTAACAAAAATAAACAAAAAAATCTTCAATGACCTTAAAGTTCTTTGGCAGGTGTGCATATTTTTTCAAAAATCTCCTCCATATTTTTGTATGTTTTTTCTAAGGTTTTATTCGCTAAATTGAATAAAAAAAATTGGGGGTAAATAAATATCAAAATAATGAAAAAACTTGCCTCATGTACATTTTCATTTTAATTATTCTCCTAATCTTTAAAAATCACTCCCCCAGCCCAGGTCTGAAAAATATACACCCTTGTTCTGTAGGTACAATTTTTATAAATATTTTCGATAATGATCATTTAAAAACAATATAAAATATAACTCACATCATTAAACAAAAACATACGGAGTAAACCAAACCATATTAAAAAAAGCGTGCCCAGCTACTAAAAAAAAAAGTTTGGAAGTAACTATAAAACTCTAAGTATGTCTACTTTTAAAGTGACGTCGCATACTCCGTACATTGGAAAATGTAGTTTCACACATCTTACATGGATAACGAATTCCCCAATGCACATCTTCAATGTGACGCTTTAGTGACGCATGGTATGACGTCATAAACACACACTGATCGCATGAGAAACTGTCTCCGCTGTGAACCTTGCTGTAGTGTTTACTTAATGCTGGGGCTTGGTTTGCAACATAATCACATTCCTTACAGGGATACGTCTTCCCTTCGTGTTTGTTTTTAATGTGTCTTTTCAAATCTTCCATATGTTTGGAACTATATTCACACTTGTGACAATAGTATCTGTTGGTGTTATGCCTCCTTTCCTTGTGACCTTTTATCGAGTAAATATTTCCCGTGACGTAGTCGCATTCATCACATTTATGAGTAATTCCTTGGTGCTTGCTCTCTCTGTGCACTCTTATTTGATAGGCAGTTCTTGCTTCATATTCACACAGATCACATTTCAGCATGGCTTTTTCGTGATTCTTCCGAAGATGTGTTCTGAGCTCTGAGCGGACCGTTGATTTGAAATCGCATTGATCACAGAGAAATAATGAAGGTTCATTTTCACACGGTGTGTCGCCATTGCTATCTAAACAATAATTAAATTTTGTTTACGTTTTATATTATAAATTCTTAACTCAAATATAAAATGATTCTCTATTGAAAATGTTACCTTGGTCATCTTTTTTTCTCCCAGGCTTCTTCGGAGCATGATGGCTTTTCATGTGCTTTCTCAATCGGATCCCCGTAGTAGTAGAAAACTCACACTTTGTACATGGAAAGGGTACGCTTAGATGCCTTCTTCTTACATGTCTATTCAGGCTGGTTTTATACAGAGCCGAGAAATCACATCTCTCACAGAAGAATCGTCTTCCTTCATGGTGACTTTCCTTGTGGTTTCTAAGAGTATATCTAGCATTTGTTGTAAACTCGCACATATCACATGAAAAAATAATTTCTTCCAGAGATGGTGGTTTGATCTCCTCTTCATTGTCTCCGGGGCCAGCTGGATCTCCTGTTAATTCGCTTTTCTCCTTTAAATTCTCTTCTCCTGAAATTATTAAATTCTTGACGCTTTTTACTACTCTCTGAATTTGGATTTAATTTGTTCTGAGAAAATTTTTAAGTAGAAAAATTTAGAGCACAGAGCACCGACATAGTTTCTGATTATAGGAAAATGAAATATTTAAGAAGACACCATCTAAATATATGTTTTTGGCTTGTCTGTTTGTATCCAATGACTTTACGATTTTCAAAAGTTCACCGATTTAAACAAAAAGATGGGCAAAGCATTTTGATAATTGCAGTACAATGAAAATTTTGCAACTTAAAGAGCAGTAAAAGCTATAAGAAAAAAGGTTGTTACTAGAAAGCTTAGTCTATACATGAATTTGACTTGTCTGTATCGAATAAACGTGAAAACGGTTGAACCGGTTCATGACCGTATTGTAGTGCAACAGTTCTTCCCCACGGCGATACTTTTCCCCCCTTCAAGTTTAAATCGTTTCTCCACAATGCTAGTTTAGTTGAGCATTATGAAATGACACAAGAATTTAAATTTTATCATGGGGAAAACGTAAATAAGTTCATTATTCTCAAACGTCGTCTTCATTTAAAATCATCAAAGAATGAATGCGAGTTGCAACAACAATTTGAATCAAATCGGTTCAGTCGTTTTGACAATAATGGATATGCAATCAAAATAAAATAAATAAAAATGGCAGTTAGTTTAATAATAAACTTTTTAATATGATTTGCATCTTACCATCTTGGATTTCTTTCTTATTTCCTGGCCCATGATGGTTTCTTATGTGCTTTCTCAATCTCACAGAGTTCAACGCCGAAAAGTTACATTTGGTGCATGGATAAGGCACGTTCTCATGCCTATTTTTGATATGTCTATTTAGACTGGTTTTATACAACGCAAAGAAATCACATTTATCGCAGTAGTACCGCTTTCCTTCATGGTGGCTTTCTTTGTGATTTCTCAAAGTATATTTTGCATTAGTTGTAAAGTCGCACATATCACATGGGAATATTTTTTCATCAGAGCTCGAGTGCCTTTTCTGTTTGAAATATTCTGCGTCACTTGAAGTTTCAGCAAATCTCTTACCGGGATATTCGTCTCCTGAAATACAAGCATATATTCAGGATTTGGAATTAGTGACACCCTTTCAAACTTATTCTGGAATTTCGACACCTTGCTTCAGTCAATATAAGGTGTCAATAACTATTTACTGATTAGAGCTACACATCTCTTTTGATAAATAATAGAAAAACTAATACTTAAAATTTACAACATTGTACATCACAATTCATGAAGAGTTGTAACCCCCCCCCCCCCCCCCCAGGATGTAACACACTGCTGAATGTAGACCATCCGGTTTCAAGTCAAAACACCTAAACTTATTTTTTGGAATATATTGATATGCAAATCCTATTTAAAGAAATCTCAGAAATAAAGTGCGGTAACAGGTATAAAATTGTAATTTATTTTTCAAGACTTTGATCTGCTTCTTATGTTTTTTTAGCGATATTTTTTGAACCATTAATGGTAGAATCCCCAAATTTTGTAACTTTTCATTAACAGTCAAAAGACAATAAGACATATTGTAGTAAAAAAAATCAAATCCCTAAGTGAACTGCCTTACTGTCAAAAGTTTTTTTTAATGTGATTATTACTGATTTTGCTCAGAATACTTCTTAGTCATTACTACGACAGTCAAACCATTCACTTGGGGCTTTGATTTTTTACCAATTGAACATTGAGATCATGATTCATGACTCAGTAAACTACATATTAAAATATCATTCCGAAAAAAAGTTCAAGTGTTTAGACCTGAAAACTGATGGTCCATTTTCAGCAGTGTGGTAAATAAAGGAAATGATTTCGAAATTTCGACGCAAAGCTAAGGATAAAGATTTGGAATGTATTTAACAAGTTGCTCTTTGAATCTTTATATGAAAAGCGAAGGGTAAAGATGGACATTTTTAAGTAGAAAAGTCCTAGTCATTTTCTTGCTTGCTTTATATCAGAGAAACAAATTATTTATACGGCAAATTTCATTAAGACGAGGTCCCTCTTAAAAATAAAGGGGAACTTAAATTTGGCTGACAGTTCCTTTAAATAGATTACCTTGATCGTCATCTTCATCATCGTCGTCGTCATCGTCATCATCTTCATCACCTTCCTCTTCCTTAACAGAACTTCCAAAAATAGCTTGCTTCCTGTCAAATGCATTCTGTGATATGTTCATCTTTGATGTTATATCATCAAGATCCAGCTTTATATCCTCAACATGAGCTTTAGTATCCTCCGAACATGGGTCTAGGTCCACACCTTCTCTTAACAAGGTTGCACACAGCTGACATACAGAGTTCATGGATTCAATATGTTGAATAGTAGCAGCTAGCAGAACCTCTTTGATATCCGCTGTGTTGTAAGGTTCTAGTTGATGAATATGATGAATATATTCCTCTAGTTCACTCTTTATATTCAGTACATACACCAGGATTCGATTCAATACAGCCTTCGCATCATTCGCAGGAAGCAAGGTTTCCTAACCAATAATATAATTAGAAATTTTAAAAACTTTTTTATTGTTAAAATAAGAGAATATAATTTTTGCCATAATATTATTAAGTAAACGTTACATGTAATTATATATTCCTGGGTTTTAGATAAAATTTGATCTGATTCCATATCAGCGGGATCAGTGGTTAATCTAGGATGAGGGTCACCAGTAAATTTGGGATCAACTTGAACAGCCAACAAACGGAGATCAACTTCCTCACTCGTTAATCTGGTATCAGCTGAATCGGTCGTTAATCTAGAATCAGCTGAGATACTTGTTAATCTAGTATCAGCTGAATCACCGGTTAATCTGGGATCAGCTGAATAACTTGTTAATATGGTATCAGCTGAATCACTCGCTAATCTGGTCTCAGCTGAGTTACTCGTTAATCTAGTATCAGCTGATTCCCTAACCAATATAGAATCAGCTTGATCAGAAGTTAATCTGGAAACAGCTTGACCAGTGTTAGATCTTGGATCTGATGGATGAGAAATTAATCTGGGAGTAGGTACATCTAGCCCAGCGATCAATCTATGATCAGCCGAGCGAAGAGTTGATCTAAAATCAGATTGAGCAGTATTTAATCTGGGATAAGCTAGATGTGCGGTTGGTCTGGAACTAACCGTATCAGTAGTAACTCTTAAATCGGTTGGGTCATTGATTAATCTGGAATGATCTGGATAAGAAGTTAATCTGAGATCAGCTGGGTTCGAGTTTATTCTGGGATCAGCAATTAATCTGAGATCAGCAGGATCATTGGGTAATCTTGGATCAGACAGATCAATGTTTAATCTGGGATCACCTGGATCAGAATTTGATCTGAAATCAGATGCATCTGCATTTAATCTGAGATTTACAGGATTATCAATTAATCTGGATTCAGTGGAATTAGCTATTGATCTGAAATCAGCTAGATCAGTGGTTAATCTATGATCACGAGGATTGGCTACAAATTTGGGATAAGTATTTGAAACAAGCTCATCAATTTGATTCAAACCATCACTCTGATCTGCAAACTCCATTTTATCTGAAATGACTATATATTTTACATAATTTGTCAACAACAAATGTTTACTTCTACAGAAGTATATATTTACCAGAATTCCCTCCCTCCCCTTTCGATACTTAAGCTTTCAGGGAAGAAAAAAGAACTTTGCGATGAAATTATTATAGGAGAGATTGTTGAGGTTACAGAGCAGTGCTGTAGAAAAAATACCTCTTTCTTTCCTGTTAAATATACGAATGTTACGGAAAGGTAAATGCCGATTTATCAAGAAAATATATACACCTCTATACTGTGTAGTGCATATAATATGAATAATGAATATGACACACTAAACTAAAAACATTAACAAATTCTTGAAACTTATTGAGGCTTTTTGTGTTTACTTTTTATATGACGAATCAAATTTCTAGAATTTGTAAATGAATTGTCACAGAACTCACAGGGATGCCTAATTCCCATATGTTTCTCTTCTATGTGTCGCTTTAAAGTTGAACTACATGGTGTAATATATTCACATTGCTCACAAGAAAACCGAACTCCTTTATGGACGCTCCTGTAGTGACTGCTCAGGTTACTGGCCTGATTCCCAACATAGTCACATTCTTTACAAGGATACTTTGCACCTTCGTGTTTGTTCTTAATATGCTTTTTTAAATCTTCCATAGTCGTAGAAAAATATTCACATCTATCACAGTAATACTTATTGCTCCCATGTTTTCTTTCCTTGTGGCTCTTAATAGAGTAGATATATCCAGTTTCGTAATCACACTCGTCACATTTGTATTTCACCCCTTCGTGTTTACTTAGTCTATGGAATTTCAAGTAGAATTTACTGCTTGCTTCATAGTCACAGAGATCACATTTAAAACGAGAATTCTCATGAATTTTGAAAATGTGTTCTTTTAAGGCAGAGAGGAGAGCTGTTGTGAAGTCACATTGGTGGCACAGATACGACTCTTTCTCTGGTTCCAAATTTCCTGAATAATATATTTGTAAAAGTTTTTAGTTTAGTTTGGGATTACTCCAAGGACCAATGATTTGGTATAGTAGGATTTACAGTAGATAATATAATCAATCTGCATAAGAAGTTACTTGTTTTTCATCTGATAGTAAAGTAAGGCAGACTTAATGCATATACTACAGAATAATATAAAAGATTTTTCGTAAATTTTTATCAAATTTTCTTGATGTTTTATGGAAAATGGTATTTTATCTTTTTTTTTCGTTTCTTTTGCATTCGTTTCTTTGACATTTTATCAGTTTTTTGTTCTTTTTTGACGTGAAGTTTCTGTATTTAGTCATATTTTATCTAATGAACATGAAAAAAATACATTTTTCAGAAAACGTACAAGAAAGTTAAAGTCGGAGGAAAACTAGTTGAATAAAATTAAAGAATAATATGTTTTACCTAACTCCGCCCCATTGAGTTGAGAACTAATCTGACCATCTTCATGAAGAAGTTTCTTGTGTGCCTGCATCAGACCTCGGGTTGAAGAAGAGAACCCACACTCCCTACAAGAGTAGGACACAACCTCATGCTTTCTTTTCATGTGTCTTCTCAAACTAGACTTATCAACGCCGGAGAAATCACATTTGTTACAAGGATGCCGAATCCCCTCGTGTTTGCTTTCTCTGTGAAACTTCAGCACCGTTTTAGTCGACGCTGCGTAATCACATAGATCACACATGAAGTTCTTTTCCTCGTGCATGTGTAATTTGTGTTGCTTTAAATTCTCAGATTTAGTTGTAACATATTCACACTCCTCACAGGAATACTCAACTCCTAAATATAAACTATAAAGCCATGAAAACAATTTTTTATCTAAAACATGAATTTATTTAATTTTGAATATATTACATTTAAGGAAAGGAAGGAAACAACAACAATTTCTCGTCCGAGTAGGCCCGCAGTCTACTCATTTAGAGTAGGCCCGCAGTCTGCTCATTTTGAGTAGGCCCGCAGTCTACTCATTTAGAGTAGGCCCACAGTCTACTCATTTAGAGAAGGCCCACAGTCTACTCATTTAGAGTAGGCCCACAGTCTTACTCATTTAGAGTAGGCCCACAGTCTACTCATTTAGAGTAGGCCCACATTCTACTCATTTAGAGTAGGCCCACAGTCTACTCATTTAGAGTAGGCCCAAAGTCTACTCAAATAGAGTAGGCCCACAGTCTACTCATTTAGAGTAGGCCCACAGTCTACTCATTTAACTAGACCAACAGTCTTACTCATTTAGAGTAGACCCACAGTCTACTCATTTAGAGTAGGCCAAGAGTCTATTCATTTAGAGTACGCCCACAGTCAGTCATTTACTGGTCCGAGCCACCCCGGAATCCAAGTCCTCCCTATATCATTTTTAATTGTGTCGAATCTTAGCAAATAAAACTATTCTTTTACAAATCTGGCCACGCTAGTGCATAAATGAAAAGTGAAAATTTTGATAAATCAAAAAAAAATGATTTGCATTAAATTAAATCTATTGAGTCCTTAATCCTTATAAAAAGTTTACATTTTCAAATATTAGTTGTTAAGAATGCCGCGAACTATTTAGAGTTAATAGAACTTCAATTTTATTTGTTGTTATCCTCTTTTGTTGAAAATAGTTTTATCTTGAATTGGAAATAAGGACGAGCATTTTGAGATGGCTTGCACAAGAAAATGTGGAGAAGTGGAGAATGTGGCTCGGACGAGAAATTGTTGAGGCTTGTCTTTCTTCCCTTGTGTAAGCGTTGTCTATTCTGAAATTCTAAAACTTACTACCAAAGTCCGAAAAATCAGCGAGTTTTCCAAGCGCTTTAAAAAAATTGTTTTTGCCAAACATGGAGCAAAAATTATCTTCTAAGCATTTCAATTTTCAAATTTCTGCCAAAAGATTAAAGGGTGTCGTATCGTTTGCACTAATCATTGATCGGACTAACGTACATTCGCTCTAACGTTCATTCGGACTAACGTTTTATTATAATGTAAGGTTAGGTTAAGACAAATTCATAGGCCCAGCGCTGCGGCTAGGACAGGCTAGGGGGCCGAGCGCCGCGGCTAGGACGGGCTAGGGGGCCGGGTGTTACTGATCAGCTGACTTTAGTGCAAAAGTACGTTAGTTCAATCGGACATTAGTGCAAACGATATAGCATCAATTAAAGTCTCAACATCTCAGAACTAGACAAACACAGGCCTCTGGATAATTTATACAAGTCAATCCTCGACATAATTTCAAGTGACTCTTCAATTAAAATCGGCCATGCCCGATTTACAATAGTACCCTTAAAGGGACTGTGAAGGAAAAATGAAAAGGGGTATAGGCTGAAACCTAAGCATTTTAGGAGTTGATCGAGACCTATCAGAGTTCTATCTGATGTTCCTGTCGCGAGAAATTGATATAAAACTGTGTCAAAGGGGATGGTGGAGTTGGCACATTTGATGTAGGGGGGGGGGGCCCCGCCTTCATTTTTGGTTCAAATCTTCCAATTTTTNNNGCCCCCCCCCCCCCCTACATCAAATGTGCCAACTCCACCATCCCCTTTATGCGAAAATTTATATATATAAATTTTGTATAAAAATCGTAGATTTAAACAGATCATATTCAACAAATACGCAAACAATCTGAAAACGACGATATCTCAGAGGAGCCTAAGTAACTTAGGTTTGCGCATAATATTATTTAAATTTAATAATATTTCCTTTTTAATAGATATAATTTATAATATAATTATTACGTCCTTATCACGTGACCAAAACTCCCACCAATAGCGTGCAGTATACTGGTCACGTGATACAGTCGGAGACACGTGACAATAATACTGTCGTTTTTCCTTTACAGTACCCTTAAAACCTTCGTTTAAACACGAATAATGACAATATCCGTGTATTTACGCAGCAGAAACAGGGAGGGAAATTTTATAAAGTAGACACTTTTCTAAATAAAAAAAAACGGTGATATCCTCCTCTGTGATGCTCAGATAAAAGTTCCAAAGGTTGTGAATCGGGCACCTCTTCAAAGTCAAGTCAATGAAAAGTATGTCGAGTCTCTTAAAAATAAATCAGACGTGAATAAAATTCAATTATTTTCGCAGAACATTTTTCTTAAATAAAGAAGTGTTGAATATTTAAAACAATAATCACAGAACCAGAGGTAAAACCAAAAAAATTCAAGATGTACAAATTAATCTACTCTTTAGGTTTCTATAACAAAAGATGGGTATGTATTTATTGAAAAATACCTTTATCTATAGTATTTATAGGAGGATTGATAGGACTTGAACCAGCATGCTTAACCTCTGTGTGTTTTAGAAGAAAGAATTTACTGCTGGATACATGGTCGCATTGATCACACGGATAGGATATACCAGAATGTTTTCTCTTCACGTGCTTTCTTAAACTAGACAGGTCACTTGTTGCAAATTCACAATCTTCACAAGAATGCCGAACGTTTGCGTGTTTACTTTGTTTGTGCTTTTTCAGGGTGGCATTTGATGCCCCAACATAATCACATACATCACAATAGAACTGTTTCTCCTCGTGTTTGTACTGTTTGTGTCTCTTCAAGTAGCAGGGTAAGGTAGCCATATAATCGCATTCATCACATTTATATTTATCCTTCAATGAAATATCTTTCATATCAAAGGAGCCATTTTCGATCAAACCTGAACCTGAATATAGTTTAATAAATTTCACCTTTCAATTTATAAATAGCTAAATATTTTAATTGTCAACAGTTTCCCTTCAAACTCTTTTTCTTTGAATTGATGTCGATTGTTGAACAAAAACTGTAGTCGAAGAAATTCACGTTTTAAGTGGAAAAATGAAGATATCAATAAAAACGATCCAGATTTTATCTTTAAAGGAATACTTTAAATGAATTTGAAGAAAACAACATGCATGCGTTTTCCAATAACCTTATGTCAGTTGAAATTATTTTTCATGAATATTGTACAAACTCTGCCATATTTATCCACCAACATTTTTTTTATCTTATTCTGATCATTTTTACCCCAAAACTATTCCGTTTTCTTCAAAATAGTATTTTCTTTCTCGTTTCTCCGATCTTAAATCAAATAATTGCTTAGAACACGTGTTACCTGCTTCCTGCTGATTATCAAGTAAACAATTAAAAACTGGTTTCTCCTCGTCCAAAATCCCGGAGTAATCATCAATCTCAACCTTGATATCCTCACATTCAGCTGTAATATCTACAGGATTTACAGGACCGGATACTTCAGGACCATGTTCCTCCTAATCAGGGTTATCTTTTAATTGTAAACCCATTCAGTAAAACAAAAGTTGAAAAGCATATGTTTTAAGGTAAAAAGAACCAAAAAGGATGGAAAAAAATTTCAATAACGAATTATGTCTATTCCCCCATTCATAAAAAATCTACCCTTGCCAAAAAAACTTTTATAATTTAAAAAAATAATAACCCTGCCTCTTGAGTCTCCAGGAAGCTGATATTCAAATCTACATCTTCGTTTAACCAGGCTGAACCCAGCTGACAAACTGTATTTATAGATACTATTTGATCATTAGTAGAACTCAGCAATATATCTTTAATATTTACGCCATCAGTCACGTGAACCGGGGGGATTTGTTGAATATAGAATATGTTTTCCTCTAAACCATATTTAACATTCAGGATGGAGAGAAGAACATGCTTTAATATCCGTTTCTCTTTACACAAAGCTCTTATACTCTAAATGGACACAAATTTACACTTTCGAAGAAACATGAAGGACGACAATTTAGTCAGCTGACAAATAATCGCAAATAATTGAGAAACTAATTTCGAATATTGAAGCAAAAAATCCCGAAACCTAATTGTCGGCCAGTAAAATTTAAAGGGTAAAAATTAGTTTAGAGAAAAGGCATTCAACATCATGAAAGCTTTGAATTCAGAAATGTTAGCAATGATATTTGTTCAAAGGTAAAATATTTTGTATAGGTACAAAAATGTCCATTTCCCTGAAGCTGCGCTTTGAGTGTATCTCTGCTCCTCTTGATGCCTGTCTGTTCCAAACCTGACGGATTTAAATCCATTTTCAACTAATGTCGTTTTCCAACATTCGTCTGTAAAATAACGAATGTAGGACAAAAATATTTGTAATTTATATCAGAACCAGATTGACAGAGAAGAATGAGATTATCTAGAAAAAGGTCTTTATATATTTCAAATTTTTTTTTCACTATATAGTAATATTTTTAAACATTCGCTTTAATAAAACGAAAGGGATAAATTTACCGAAACGACCCTTCACAAATTCGGAATTTCCGGAAATTGAAAAACATAAACTCAGAGAGAAATGACAGTGTACACTGAGTACACTTTGCTGTGATGATGATGATGATAGATAGATAGATCGAGAATAGATAGTGTACACTACAGTTCTACCTGCCCTTTACTTTACTATTATACAAGGATGGTGGTGTATTTTTCGACCTACGCAAGTCCGCTATACTCCACTTCTGACCTACGCCAAATCCGCTATACTACACATCCAACCTACTAGCATGCAAGAAGATACAGTAGCACCAGAGGCGGCTTATGAGGGGGACGCCCCCCCTGGAAACTTGGAGGGGACGTTAACCCCTCCCTGGAAACTTTGGGGGACGCCCGGCCCCCCCTGGAAAAATTATGAGTGCAAAAATAGAGAGCAAGGCACCATAATTCTAGCCCTTTAATTTTGATTTAAAAATCCGGATTTAAAAAAATTGTTATACCTTCCACCTCCAAGCTGCTCATGGTTTTGACATAGTACGCGTATTAGAGATGTCAACGTTTTGATTTTTCTAGATTTTATAGCTTTCGTTACGATATAGAGTTCATCAAAAGTATTAACGTTTGAAACTTTACGTTGCACATTATGAAATTTTATGGTATAGAGTAACGTTACGTAATGACTTTTCTGCACTTGAATACCTTATACAACGTTAATGTTTAGTAAAATGTTATTGAAAAAAACAGTAAGCTCCGTTACGCTTTTGCATTTGATGTTTTAAAAATCTTTCCCAACGTTGCGTTAAAGCTTATGTAATATAACCACAATTTTTTAACGTTTCACTTTCAGGCAAGGTAAATATTTTCAGAGACCTTACGTTACACTTTCACTTGGTTCAAGATCTTAAAGATGACAAACGTTTTGCTTTAATAAAACGTCATTGGGGCATAGTTCTGTACGTTACAATGCATTTCAATGCAAAGAATATTTTTTGTTAACGTTACGTTTTATCTTAACTTTTCCAATATAAACTCTTTTAATTACGTTTAGAAATTTTACTAATGCACCTTTTCTTACGTTACGATTTATCGAAACGTTATTGTGAAAACTTTTTTGTAACACTTTTTTACAACTGACAATTCAAACTGTTTATTCGTTTCGTTTCTAAGAAAGATTTGAAAAAATACTCTATACGTTGCGTTAAAATGTTCAAGCCTTAATGTTTCTAACGTTACAGTTTATTAAAATAATGCTGATTCTAAATGAAAGCATTGAAAGATTTTTTCCGTGATAATTACATATTTTTACTCATCCTGTATGTTTCTGTTGTATTGTTAACCTTTTTAGAGAATGTGTTGAAGAATATGCATTATGTAATATAAAGATGTTATAATATTATAATGTTTAACGATTTTTAAAATTTGTAAATGAAAGTTTTTAGCATTAGACTTTAAACTCAAGTGTGTGTCTTGAAAAATGGTTTTCGAATCTGAATTCAGCATGACATTTCCAAGAAAATGATGTATCATATTTATTTTTTGCAAGATACAAGACAGGAAAACACTCATAATTTTCAAATCATCAATCAGATAAAGGTATACACGTTATCATTGGGAATCGAGCATACCCCTTTTTAAATGAAGGATCACTTGAAATTATCATCGTGTATTTGACGAGCTTAAAAAATAGACATTTTTTTGGACACTCTTTGCTTTTACTTTT